GTATAATATATAATAAATTAAATGAAGTTACATTTTATATTTTTTTAGTATGGCACATATATACTTTTAAAGCACACTACTCAAATTTGCTCAAATTACTCAAAATGTTTTTAGAAAGTCTTAGAAGTTTGTTTTAGAAGGTCTATAAAATGTTATTAGGGTTAGAGATTCTCAAGATTTGGCTGAACTCTCAGTCCAGCCTCCCTCAGCGTCAATCCGTGGTTCACAACATGGTCCACTAGTGTTGCACGAATGTCATTTGATAAGTTTGGTCCTCTTCTTCTTTGTGCACGTTCTCCTCCTGCTTCAGGTCTTCTTCGGCCTCAGCCTCCTTCTCCTCCTCTGTGTACTCCTCCTCTCACCCTCACTCTTCTTCTGACTCCTTCCATTTTGGATGAAGGTAGGTGAACCTACCTGCTGCATTTTTATAGTGCTTAAACCTGATTGGTGTGTCTACAATTTAGCCATCATGTGTTTGTGCACCTGATGGCTGTGTTTAACAGATTGGCTCATAGGTGTGGTAATTTGACAGTCAGTGCTTTGGAATTGCAAGGAAGTGACATCATGATATACTTCTGTGTCTGATGTATACAAGTGTGTTTAGTGTTTTGCAAATCACTGTGTGTAATGTTTTGCAAATAGTGTGAAGCTGAAAATGTGCTTACAGTTGTGCAAATCTAGCCTTGTGTCTTGCTCCTTGAGTGTAAGGTTTTGCTAGTTGTTGGAAAAGTTTAATTTTAGTGTGTAAGCAATCGTAAAAAACTGTAAAATAGTCTCATCCAGTTATATATATATATATATATAAACAGTATATTGAATGTGAAGCAATGAGATTTTTAGTTAACATCACAGAATTTAGAGTCCATGAGACATTGCAGGCTTATTGCAGTATAAAGGTTTTTCTTCAAGCACTGTCATTTTTATTTCAAGGTGTGATAGCTAACTTCCAGATCACTATTTAAAAAAAGTTAAGGAGAAAAGCCCTGCACCGTTGTGCAACAGACCAAGGCTCTTAAGTAGGAGTGCAGGTGGAAGAGTACAAAAAGGCTCTAAAGTGCTGCAAGGTCTGCATATTTCAGCACACACTCATAGAACAAAAATAACAAAAACAATCCCAGGAATTTATTTATGCCATAGAGGCTGTGTGTGTGTGTGTGTGTGTGTGTGTGTGCGCGTGCGTGCGTGCGTGCGTGTGTGGGCAAAAAGTGCCCATATTTAAAGAAACATCCACAAATGTTTTGGAAAGTTGGAACTCAGTTTGTCTTTATCAAATGTAGGGATACAGTGGAATTCAGTTAATTGCTAATTCAGTTCATTAAACTCCATTAAACCTCATGGTTGATCTATATTACAGTTCAAAATATACAATCATTTTAGAAATTTCACAAATTTAAATACAACAGTTTTTGGTACCACTGTCACAACAGAATAGAAATAAGAAGAAGAAGAATTCAATTTGCTGCTAGACTTCGATCATCTCAGCTAATCTTTTGCTGACTTAGAGATGTTAATGGTCTGTAGGAGATCACATATGTCATCTGATTATCAGCTCAGTCATAAAACATAATAAATAGAAGTCTTACATTTTTTGATTTTACACACAATTCTTAAAAATTCAAAAATTGTTTAAGCAAATCTTTGTACAATAAAGGGTTTGAACAATCAAGGTCATTGATAGAAAAGTACAAATATGTGAACTTTCTTGTTAAAAAGCCTTTGATAAACCGTTCCAAACAGTTCAGGTCAAATTTTGATATAATTTTGATTACCTGCTCAAAATAATGTTATTCTGTTGCAACATGATGAAAAGAGATTTCAGATGACTTTAGAAAAAGAAAAGTTTAAGTGACTAGAATAGGTTACATAATTATTTATAATCATTATTTCACAGTTATAATGACCCTTTTGGATTGGACATCCGTAGAACAGAACACAACTGAATTTGAGTCATGTGACAATCATCCAAAGCACGTGAGTAAATGACTCAGCTTCAGGAAAATCCTCTCTATACAGATAGACTGAACTGGTTTCTGTAGGTGGTTGAACTAAATATGTGAACTATGAGGTTATACTTACTTTTTACATAAGTGACCTTCAAAGTTCATGCACTAAATGTTGACAAAATTATGTTCAGTTCATACTTTTTTCCCCCCAGAACTGTGTGGACATATTGAATTGTTGATTCTTCTCATCAGTGTATAAATCTATTTACAGTCATCTATATGACAATATAGTATTGCCTCATGCTGAAACATGCATAAAAATATACAAAAAGGATATATTATAGCAGTTATTGCAAACCAATAGCATTGTGTAAATTCACAAAATAATTTATAAGGCGTGCGTGCGTGCGTGTGTGGGCAAAAAGTGCCCATATTTAAAGAAACATCCACAAATGTTTTGGAAAGTTGGAACTCAGTTTGTCTTTATCAAATGTAGGGATACAGTGGAATTCAGTTAATTGCTAATTCAGTTCATTAAACCTCATGGTTGATCTATATTACAGTTCAAAATATACAATCATTTTAGAAATTTCACAAATTTAAATACAACAGTTTTTGGTACCACTGTCACAACAGAATAGAAATAAGAAGAAGAAGAATTCAATTTGCTGCTAGACTTCGATCATCTCAGCTAATCTTTTGCTGACTTAGAGATGTTAATGGTCTGTAGGAGATCACATATGTCATCTGATTATCAGCTCAGTCATAAAACATAATAAATAGAAGTCTTACATTTTTTGATTTTACACACAATTCTTAAAAATTCAAAAATTGTTTAAGCAAATCTTTGTACAATAAAGGGTTTGAACAATCAAGGTCATTGATAGAAAAGTACAAATATGTGAACTTTCTTGTTAAAAAGCCTTTGATAAACCGTTCCAAACAGTTCAGGTCAAATTTTGATATAATTTTGATTACCTGCTCAAAATAATGTTATTCTGTTGCAACATGATGAAAAGAGATTTCAGATGACTTTAGAAAAAGAAAAGTTTAAGTGACTAGAATAGGTTACATAATTATTTATAATCATTATTTCACAGTTATAATGACCCTTTTGGATTGGACATCCGTAGAACAGAACACAACTGAATTTGAGTCATGTGACAATCATCCAAAGCACGTGAGTAAATGACTCAGCTTCAGGAAAATCCTCTCTATACAGATAGACTGAACTGGTTTCTGTAGGTGGTTGAACTAAATATGTGAACTATGAGGTTATACTTACTTTTTACATAAGTGACCTTCAAAGTTCATGCACTAAATGTTGACAAAATTATGTTCAGTTCATACTTTTTTCCCCCCAGAACTGTGTGGACATATTGAATTGTTGATTCTTCTCATCAGTGTATAAATCTATTTACAGTCATCTATATGACAATATAGTATTGCCTCATGCTGAAACATGCATAAAAATATACAAAAAGGATATATTATAGCAGTTATTGCAAACCAATAGCATTGTGTAAATTCACAAAATAATTTATAAGGTAAATAACTAGGCCTATTTTAAATATTTAAGCATTTCTTTAATTCACAAACTTCAGATTCTCTTTTCAGTTCGAACCTCCTTTTTGGTCTGTTGCAATTAATATATATTTTTTTAATTCATCTCATATATTAGGAAGAAATCGTTAATATAAACTTATCATAATATTAAAGATATTTACAACAAGCCTACAGCACAAGAGTCGCTAAATGGTGAATAAATCAAAAACATTTGCTAAACTAATATGAAGTACATGTGAAATATTATAGGAAAAATATAAGAAAAACCTTTTTTGTCTAAGAAGGTAGTTATTATTGCAAAAAATGGACACACAAAAGGACACACAAGAAACACCATTAAACTCCAGATGTTACTGTAGAGGCTGTGATGAATGTTGATCGTAGTTTCATCAGGTGAGAACACTGCTAAGAAAAAGCCAATCAGTCTGACTAGTTATAATAGAGTATTTACGACAGTCAATATTATGTATGATCCAAAAATAAATAAATAACAATATGACATTTTACAATGTAGTCAAGTCATTAGAAAGCATAAAATGTAGGATTTGCTTTTACAAAAGATAACAATAAAGAACATCATAAAGACCAAAACATGAATTACAATGTTCGAATTACTACGTTTAACGGTACCTTTGCTTTGCTCTCCACAATATCGCCAGAAACAAATCAATGGTTTTTATTAGCATCATTCCTAGAAAGTAAAAAAGAAAGAGAAGGTGCTGACGGCATGATCTTGGGAAGAAATGGCATGGAGAATGAGACCAAAAGTCATGACTGAATGAATGGTGCGCTGTATTAAAATATATTTATTAGAGAATTTGTTGATGGATAGATTAATGGATTCGATAGAAGGTTTGTTTCTTCCACTGAAAAGTGTAAGATGCTCTTAATAACATTCTCAAACCATGCTGCGATATGATCATCAGGTTTTGTCTATGCCAGAACGAGCACTGCTGTCATTACAGCAAAAAGAGCCGTACTAAATATGGAAGCCAAAGGGCAAAGGCTGCGCTTAATGTTTCATGCTTGTGGTGTGTAGAGCTGTGAAATGAAATCCAGAATAGCAGAAAACAGGTGAAGTCATCAACCTATTGATGAGTGATGATTAGAAATAATGATCATATTACTGCTATACTGTCATTTGGTGGGGACACAATCAAGTATAAATGAACATGCTCTGATGGGCCGTGTCTTCTGCACATGCTAGTGTTTCATTGAAATCATCACTTGCTGATACATTGCTAATGATTTCACTTGTTGACCCGCCCCATGTGTGTAAAGCAGAGGAATCACTCTTTGATTTGGACTGCTGACCCTCTTTTTATACAAAAGTGTTTAACTAAATTTACTGCATAAAGCATGTGTTCTGTTTAAATTAACATGTAATTCAATACAGTAAATAAATAATTAAATAAAATGTCTAGCAATAATATCCCAGATTGTACATTTATATTTACATAATAAAAAAAAATATAAATGTATGGTAACACTTTACTTGAAGGGGTGTGCATAAGACATCCCAGCATCCACCAGCCTGCAGTTGGAGCTCGTATAAGAGCTTCCCGTTTCTGTCTCTGTGCCGCACTGTGTGTGTTTTGCCTCTTCGGTCTCGTCCTGTTCTTCTTTAAGAGTGATGCAGGAGCTGCCTGAACTGTAACATCACAGCCAAAATAAGATGCAAAAATTCAGGAGTGAAACATGAAAATGACCCTATGAAATCCAAGTTCTACATTTTCTGGCTTTCAGTTCAGATCTTTTAGCTTTGAGGTTGATTACATGCTATTGTGCTACTAAAGTAGACATTTTTTTTAGCAGATATAGATATTTAAATATTCAGTCTTCCTCTTGTGGAAAAACAAATTAAATAAAATTAGATTAATAGGTTTTATAGACATTTTTGTCCAACAAAATGCTTACTGGAATGTGAAATTCATTGGTTTTGCCAGGCTATGATGTATAAGTGAGTAAATCAAAAATCATTAAGGCTGGAACACACTACATGATTTTGCACAGATTATTTCCCCAGTTTTCAGTCAGAGTGAGTCAACATTAGTTGCTGAAATTGAGCTAGTCTGCAATTCCAAGTCAGTGTAGCATTTGGACCAATCAGACACACAACTTTTTGTTTTCGCTACATCAGTGTGGACAGATTTCACAGAAAATTGGTATCAAACATGTTTTGATTATTTTGATTCAGTTTAAGAACACAGTATTTTCGTTTGTCATGCATCGAGGCGCATGTTTCTGTGTGAGTTTGACTTGAAATGTATGCTAGTGTTTGATCCTCGGCTGTTTAGTGTATGACACCCAGTTTTTCCTCTGTAGCAAAGTCAGCAAATATATGATAGTGTTTTAAAATCTGAACTGATTTTTGGAATGATGGGATTTTGATATTTTGGAAATGCCATATTTGTAAAATGGCCAAAATGTAAAAGTTTAACATAGTTTTTTTTTTTTTTTAAATATGAATAAGCTTTTGTTCTATGTATATGTATATATATATTTGTTGTTTTATTTATTTTTTACAAATTTCAAATGTCATAAAATGCCAGAATTGAAGACAATCAAGTATCAAGAGGTGTAGTTGCTCACCTCCTCTTCTGCAGCATCTGCAGTCTGTGATTCAGTCTTGTGTTTTCATCTTGCAGAGCATGGCATTGTTCCTTCAGACTGTTACATTCATCCATCAACAGACCCACTTCACCTAATCAAGTAACGCAAGAAAATAGAAACCAATATGAACATTAAAGTGTATGATTGTACAAGAGACTTCTAATCAAAGCAATCTACAATAAATTGTACATATCCTGAAATAAAAAATTTTTAACAATCATTATAACTAGTGGGATGCATGCAGTCATCCACGCTCTCAAACGTTTACTGCATCTTCGCATAACATTACCCACACCATCAGCTATTCTGCAGGAGCTCTTCCCCACTGGCCACTGTGTGCTGCAAACGATTCCGAAATGCTTCAGGGTTGCACTCTTTATTAAAACTAGTGTGATTTATGGCCATCACTGCAGGACGTTAACCAGCTTTACAAATTGAGTGAGTCCATCATGCACTGATTTAAAAATTATGTCATCATGGACATTAGTGGATGTTTCAGACATAGTCTAAAAAAAAAAAAAAAAAACATCAACAGATTTGACAGCACTTTTCATTGAATTGATTGTCAAATCTGAATCAATAAAGTTTGAGATTATCAGAATTTCATATTAGAAAATAATATAAAATAATAATAATAATAATAATAATATATTCACTAAGCCTCTATTTTAGCTTTTGGAACCAGGTTTCTATAAAAAATAAAATATGGACAGTGTGAATTCCACATATATTATAATTTATTATTCACCTGTCAGGTTTTATAAACCGGCCAAGAACAGCTGGTTGAAAGGAGAGCAGGATATCATTTATTTTAATAATGAAATATAAAATGAAATATAATATTTAAACATAATGGTAACACTTTAAGGACCAATTCACACTATTAACATGTATATTACTAGCATATTGGCTGTTTATTAGAACTTAAAAGGCACATATTAAAGGGGTCATATGATGTGATTTAAATTTTTCCTTTCTCTTTGGAGTGTTACAAGCTCTTGGTGCATAAAGAAGATCTGTAAAGTTGCAAAGACTAAAGTCTCAAATCCAAAGAGATATTCTTTATAAAAGTTCAGAGTCAGCCACGCCTACCTAAAACGGCTCGTTCTAACACGCCCCTACATATCTACCTCACTATGTGGGAAGATTTGCATAATACCGCCCAAATGTTCACGCAAAGAAAGAAGGTGTAACTTTATTGTTGCTGCTGTTGTGAAGACGCTGTGCGTTTAGTTGTGAAAGAGAAACTACTTTTTTGATCTTCCAAAAGAGGACACAACTAGAAATCAGTGGTTAAGTTGCATTTACAACACTGTTCCAGAACAGTTCAACCCAAATATTCAGATGTGTGCAACGCATTTTACGGAGGAAGAGGACTGTTTCCTGA